CTTCAGTCAAGTGAAAAGGCTATTACTGCTATTAAACACTCTCCAAGAATTCTTTATCGTGATCTTCAAAATTTATTGCACCTAAAGTCAGTAATTTGCGAGATAACAGTGTGCCTGAATCGAATATTGTTAGGTTACTTGGTAATTGGCCTTCCATATTTATGTATTATAGTCGGTTTGAAGAGACTGTGGACTTGGTAAAGAAAATGGGTATAAATCCTATAAGGTCACAGTTTGCTATTGCTATTCTTATAATTTTGGTAACTCCCAAATCTGAGTGGGATAAGAAGTTTGATGTTTACAAGAGGTGGGGATGGTCTGAGGAAGAGATTCTTACAACATTTCGGAAGAATCCTTGGTTTATGATTACATCCGTGGATAAGATTATGGGAGTGATGGACCATTTTGTAAACAAAATGGGTTGGGAGCCTTCTGTCATTATGAAGCAGTCAGTTCTTTTTTCACTTAGCTTGGAGAAGAGAATAATTCCCCGTGCTTCAGTTCTCCAATATCTGTCATCCAAAGGTTTGCTTAAGAATAATCCTTATAACCTGGTTACATCGTTTCGACTTCCTGAAGAAACCTTCTTGTAGAGGTTTGTGAATCGTTATGACGAAACGCCCCAGTTAATGAAGCTGTACAGAGAAGCTGGATCATTCAAAGATGGCAAAGTGAAAGGAAAGCAGCATTTGTAATATGTTGACATCAGAATGATAGTGTTACTTGATCTAGTTAAATTCATTGTATTCAGATTGGGTTTACTTCTTGTCAAAAAGAGCATCTAGTCCAGATTAGTTTTGAGTTTCATTGTATTCAGCATTTGCAATTTTTGTTTTCTTGTGACATGTTGTCTCTTGACTAAAGCACAAGCTTTGCAATGTGATGTATGATTATGTATCAAACTGTGTTCTCTGGCTTTGTTTAGTCTTGTTAAAAACTCTGCAACTAGTTACCTTTGGTTGATATTAATTTCCTTGATCTCTGTGATGTTTTTGGAAGGGACGACTTCATTCTATAGTGAAATTTTCTCCTCTCCCATTAGAAAAACATTTGAAAGGGAAGCTCAATGAGTTAATAACTTCAGTGAAACTTATAAATTGTTGTGTCTGGTTAGTTCGTATGTCAACCCAAGTCAACTTGAAGATAGAAGTTGTCAACTGAATACTGCAGTCACCACCAAGACACAAGATTATCAATTTTTTTTTCAACTCTGATTTACTGGAGAATGCCATTGTTCTTTATGATTCTGTAAAACAATCTCATGGATCATGAGCACTATTCCGTGTTGAATAATGAATAGATTAGTGGCTGATTAGGAGATAAAATTCTAGTGCTAAAAATATATAATTGTCCCATATCTAAAGCAAAGAAGTTAACTTGATTGATAATAGATATTAACTTCTTGTAAAGTTTACTTTTTATCATTACTTGTTAAAATGTCTAGCCATCTGGAATCCTTATTCAAAGGAGATTGGATGACAAACATACATCTCGAAAATTACAAATAAAGAATCATTTACTGTATCCTATCTCGTAAACTCGGGGGTTCTCTCAAGAATCTGTCTTAACACTTTCTAAACATGTTCAATTTGAATCCTTAAAAAGATCAGACTCAGTTATTGTCTTGTTCAAGAACCATGGTTTCTCAGAAACACAAATTTTAAATATAATAAAAAATTTACCAAAAATGCTTTAGCCAATGCTGAGAATACCCTTTTGCCCAAAATTAAGTTTTTCTACTCCAACAAAGGCTTCTCAAACACTTAACTTGTGCCCTTATATCTTAACTAGAAGCTTAGAAAACCGTCTAGTCCCTAGTTTCAACTTCCTTAAGAGTAATGTGCTTCAGTCTCGTGAGAAGGCTATTGGTGCTTTTAAACGCACTCCTATATTCTTTATATGGATCTTGAAACTTATATAGCACCTAACATTGACATTTTGCGATATTATGGTATGCGTGAGACCAAGATTTCCAGGTTTTTGTGTCATTGGCCTCACTCATTCTTAGTGAAATCGTATGTGTTTGTTGATGCTTGATTTTGGATGCCAACGACTCGCACGTGAGAAACGCTAAACGGACTTAGGAATCACACGTGATGGATCCATGAGATTTGAATATGGAGCTGAGATTATATATGTTGCAAAAAACATAAATAATAGGCTGACAAGAGAAGTTTTTACAGTGGTTTGCAGTATGTCACCCTTACACGCCCCGATATCGCATATTCCGTAAACCAGCTTTGTCAACACATGCAAGCTCCCACTTCTGCACATTGGACAACAGCCAAACGAGTGTTAAGGTACTTGAAGCAGACACTTGATTTTGGCTTGCTCTACAAGCCAGGTTCCTTCTTTATTAATGCCTACTGTGATTTCGATTGGGCTGGAGACCCTGACGATAGACGCTCAACGTGTGGTTATGGTGTTTATATGGGTCCTAACCTCATCTCTTGGTCCGCCAAGAAGCAACCTGTTGTCTCTAAATCTAGTACAGAGGCGGAATATCGCTGCTTAGCTCTTGTCACGGCTGAGGTATATTGGCTACGCATGCTCTTGTGTGAGCTGCAAATTTCACTTGACTTGGCTTCCATTGTTTGGTGTGATAATGTCAGTGCTCTAGCTCTTGCCTCTAATCCAATTTTCCATGCCAAATCCAAGCATATTGAAGTGGATTACCACTTTGTCCGAGAAAAGGTGGCAAACCGAGACATAATCCTACACCATGTCCTTTCTTCATTGCAACCTGTGGATATTTTTACCAAGGGTCATACGGCTGATAGGTTCTGTTTCCTCAGAGACAAACTCTCAGTGATGGATCTCCTTGCTAGTTTGCGGGGGAATGATAAGGATAAGGACCACAATGTTCAAACTACACGTTCAAATGTTGAGGATGTTGGGTTGACATAATCTTCTGTTTATATTTTAAATCTTGTGTAAATCTTATCTCTTGAAACTCTTATCTCTTGTAACAGTTCCGAATATATATACATGAGTTTACACTCTTCTCTGGTAAGCAAAACCAGATTTATTCCAGTTCTTTCAGGCAGCTAATACAGAAAGACATTTATTGGGCTGACATAAGCGTGACTTTTAAGGCATAATAGTGTTTAAAGAAATTGTGAAGGAAGTCAAGGAAATGGGTATCACCGTATTAGTGATTTGAAGATACAATTTGTTCTAGCCATTGTAACGAAGAGAATAATGAGCAAGTCGCTGTGGGAAAGGAAACTCGATGTTTATAAGACATGGGGTTGGTCTAACAGAGTTTTTAGCAGCATTTACAAAGTATCCATGGTGTTTGATGGCATCTGTGGATAAGATTACGGAGACAGTGGACTTTTTGTGAACAAGATGGGTTGAGATTCTTCCATTATCCCAGAACGCCCAATACTTATTACAATGAGCTTGGAGAAGAGGCTTATACCAACGGTTGCAATAATTCAGTTTTTGTTATCAAAAGGTTTGATCAATAAGATAAATAGTTTGATTTGTATGTTTGAGTAGCCTAACAACACCTTCCAGTACAAATCTGTGAATTCTTATGATGAAGCTCCCTAGTTATTGAAGTTGTACCAAGAGGAGTTGAATCCTTCAGAAAAGGCAAAACGATCATTGTGTAGAAACATGGATGCACTATCTGTTAAAGTCCTCGCATTGTAAAATCCAAGTAGTTGGCTTCCCACAATTTTTGTTTTCCTATTGTTCTTTGTCTCTTGAAGAAAGCATGATATTTTGATGCATGATTTTGTATCACTAGATTCTCCGGTCTTGCTCACCCTTAGTTACATGTATCTAGTTTCAATAGTTATCTTTAGTTCTGCTTTATCAGGTTCTAAATATATTCATTTTGAAACTCCAGAAAAAGCTGATTCAATTCTCAACTTTTTCGAGAAACATGGTTTCTGGAAACCCCAGATTTCAATCCTTATCAACAAACTCCCAACATTGCTTGTGTCTAGTCATGAGAAAACCCTTTTGCCAAAACTAGATTTTTTTTCACTCCAAAGGCTTCTCTAACCCTGACATTACTAGAATATTATGTTATCAGCCATGTATTCTGAAGAGAAGCTTAGAGATTCTAGCAGCATATCGGAAACACCCTTGGGGTATGATGACATTATTGTAATGGACCAGAAAACAAAATTAATTTTAAACAATAAATTTGAAGCAACTTAGAGCCTATTAGGCTTAGTTTATTAAAATTAGCTTATAAGTAACTACTGTTTATAAGCTAATTTAAAATATTTAAGCAATTACGTGTTTGGTTAAAGTACTTATAAATGATTGATAAATAATTGATATGTTTGGTAAAATGTGGTTTTTAAGTACATTTTATTATTAAAATAACTAAAAAAGCTACTACATTATTAAAAATAAAGGTATAAAATGAAATTTTAAAATTGAAAAGGGATAATGTGATAATATATTTGGTCAAAGTAGCTTATAAACCAAGAAAAAAAAAAAAATTATCATCCCTCCTAACTTATTTCTTTGAGTTTATAATCCTAAAAAAATTATAAACAAACAAATTAGTTTAATTTTAGAGTTTATAAACTAGTTTAACCAGCTTATAAGCTCAGACAACACCTTTTTATTGATTTCATTGATTTAAATTTAAAAGTTGAGAAGCTCTCGTATAAAAATAATTTTTATTTATAGTAATGAATCATCGTTGTCAATCGTCAATGATAAAAAATATGAATTTTGTTCATCCACAAACAAATTATAGGTGAATCCCGAGAAGCCCAATAGTGCCGAGGTCGGTTGGGCTTTGGGCTTTAATAATAAAATTTTGTTTCTTCTCAAAACCGTTACCGAAGTTTAAATAGAATTTCTTAATGAACTGGGCTTCAAGGTTATATAGAATATAGAATTTCTTGTTCTATGAATTACCGAAGTTTTGCCGCGCCGCTGCATAATATTCGAGGGTTTCAGTTTCCCCCCCCCTGTTCAACTTAAACGGATTTCTACAATATGCTAGCTTTCTGAAGGAGATGTCTGGAGCATAAGGTGATAGGTAAGTGTATTCTATTATTTTTGCAATCATGGCATTTAATTTTCTTCGCAGAACTTTAGTTCAGAATCATGGCAGATACACCGTTAGTGCTTCACTAAACCATAGATTTCAAGATTTTTTTAATCCAATATTTGTCAAACATATCTCAACCAACTCAAATGAGCAATCTTTTACAGTCTCTTACCTCATTAATTCATGTGGGTTGTCGCCAGAATCTGCTTTAAAAACATCCAAAAAATTGCAATTGGAAACCCCAGAAAAAGCTGACTTAGTCCTCACCTTGCTCGAGAACAATGGATTCTCAGCAACCCAAATCTCTGACCTAATCAGAAGACGCCCATCACTGCTTTTGTCCAATCCTGAGCAAAGCCTTCTGCCCAAATTTGAGTTTTTTCACTCCAAAGGCTTCTTAAGTACTGATATTGCCACTGTTTTAATTCGGTGCCCTAATATCTTGCTAAGTAGCTTAAACAACCGTATAATCCCTTCTTTTACTTACCTTAGTAACTTGATTCAATCTGCTGAAAAGGTTATTACTTTAATTAAACGAGTTCCGTTTATTGTTTGTTGTGATCTTCAAATTTTTGTTGCGCCTAAATTCAAAGTTTTGCGAGATATTGGTGTACCTGAAACACAGATTGCTAGGTTACTTTGTAAATGGTCTACTGTATTAACAAAATATTCTGGTCGTTTTGATGAGACTGTGGACTTATTGAAGAAAATGGGTATGGATCCTTTAAGGTCCCAGTTTGTCCAAGCTATTGTTGTAATGTCAACGATGTCCAAATCCGAGTGGGATAAGAAGGTTGATGTTTACAAGAGGTTACATTGGTCTGAGGAAGAGATTCTTGCTGCATTTCAGAAGCATCCTTGGTGTATGATGACATCCGAGGATAAGATAATGGCGGTGATGGACATTTTTGTGAACAAAATGGGTTGGGAGCCTTCTGCCATTGCCCAGCGGCCAATTCTTCTTTCATTGAGCCTGGAGAAGAGAATTATTCCTCGTGCTGCAGTTATTCTGTTTCTATCATCCAAAGGTTTGCTTAAGACCAATTTTATCTCGGCTACACCCTATAACATTTGTGATGAAGCCTTCCTGCAGAAGTTCGTGAATTGCTATGATGAAGCTCCCCAACTAAAGAAGCAATTTACTATAAGGGCAAAACTTATAAGGGCAAAACTTTTGCCAAAACTTGAGTATTTTCACTCTAAAGGTTTCTCAAGGCCTGATCTTGCAAAATTTTTATGGTCGAACACTACAATCTTGCAAAGAAGCTTAAAGAACCATTTAATCCCTTCCTTTACTGACCTTACTAATTTGCTTCAATCTACTGAAAAGGCTATTACTGTTGTTAAACGCAAGCCAGGTATTCTTGACCGTGATTTAAAAATTAATGTTTCACCGAAAGTCAATTATTTGCGTGATATTGGTGTGCCTGACTCACGAATTGTGATGTCACTTCATACCTGGCCTAGCATCTTTGAAATGCACTTTAACCGTTTTCAAGAGATTGTGGACTTGGTAAAGAAAATGGGTATAAATCCATTAAGGTTACTGTTTGTCAAAGCTATTGTTACAGTGTCAATGATGTCCAAATCCGAGTGGGATAAGAAGGTTGATGTTTACAAGAGGTTGCATTGGTCTGAGGAAGAGATTCTTGCTGCATTTCAGAAGAATCCTTGGTGTATGATGACATCCGAGGATAAGATAATGGCGGTGATGGACTTTTTTGTGAACAAAATGGGTTGGGAGCCTTCTGCCATTGCCAAGCGGCCAATTCTTCTTTCATTGAGCCTGGAAAAGAGAATTATTCCTCGTGCTGCAGTTGTTCAGTTTCTTTCATCCAAAGGTTTGCTTAAGACCAGTTTTATCTCGCTTACACCGTATAATATGTGTGAAAAGACCTTCTTGCAGAAGTTTGTAAATTGTTACGATGAAGGTCCCCAGCTAAAGAAGCTGTACAAAGAGAAGCTGGATCTTTCAAGGAAGAGAAACTGATTAGTATTTTCAGATAGGATTGCAGCATTTGTAACATGTCTACATTTGAAACCTGCTTCAATCTAGCGAAAAGGCTATCACTGCTATGAAAAAACTGTCCATGCATTGTTGATCGTGATCTTCAAAAGTGAATTGCAAGATAATGTTGCTAGTGAAAGATCAATCTTCATCAAATTCTACTGCACTTAAAGTCAATTATTTGCGAGATAATGGTGTGCCTGAATCTAATATTGTTATGTTACTTGGTAATGGTCTCTCATTTGTACATATCAGTGACTTCGTTTTGAAGAGATTCTGGACTTGGTAAAGGAAATGGGCATCAATCCTATAAGATCACAGTTTGTTATTGCTATTGCGGTAATGTTGTTACTTCCCAAATCTGAGTGGGATAAGAAGATTGATGTGTACAAGAGGTGGGGTTGGTCTGAGGAAGAGATTCTTATAACATTTTGAAAGAGTCCTTGGTGTATGTATGACTTCATCTGTGGATAAGATTATGAGAGTGATGGACCATTTTGTTTACAAAAAGGGGTTGGGAGCCTTCTGTCATTGTGAAGCAGTCATTTCTTCTTTCACTTATAGGTTGGAGAAAGAGGTTTGTGAATTGTAATGATGAAGCACTCGAGCTAATGAAGCTGTACAGAAAAGCTTCATCGTTCAAAGAATGTAAAGTGAAAGGAAAGCAGCATTTGTAATATGTTTACATCATAATGAATGATACAAGTGATGGCATTTTCTGTGTTTACTTCATCTTGTTAAATTCTGTATTCACTTCGGCTTCAGTTCTAGTCATACAGCGCATTTAGTCCATCCAGACTGATGTGTGAATTTCATTTGTGTTTAACTGGTAGTGGTTGGTTAGGAAATCAAATTCTACTGCAATAAAAATAATTTTCCCAGAAATCTAAATTCTACGCCCTAAAAAAATTGTCTAAGTTTGTTTTAAAGAAATGCAACTTCACCAACTACTTTCAAGATTTTCTCTGCTGGTTGTGAAGGAAATTTGAAGAAAACAAATGGCAGATTGTTAAAGGAGTTTTGTCCTGAGGGGAAATGTAAACCATCATTCAAGAAGGCTCTTTCAGAACCAAGAAGGGAGTTTAGTTTGAGCGGGAAATGTGGACCAAAGTGTCAGATGTTAAAATGTTGTGGTTTACTTTGTAATTTGTCTAAAACAAAGTGATGTCGTTTTGAATTGTTAGTCTTTGTACAAAGTCGGTTGCTGTTTATACTGATTTCTTACTACAGAGATGCTTGACTAAGATGATATAAAGTCAGCCCTCGTGTAATCTTTCATTCACTCTCTTTAATCAAAGAATCAAGAGATTCACTTTACTCATTTTTCTCTCAAACTCAATTTCTCCTCTCAAGTTTCACAGAACTCACGATCGGTAAATATGTCAAGTAAAGATAGAGGTAATTTATATGGAGTGTTTAGGACTGAAGTTTGCTTTCACTTTGGTTTGGTTATTGGAACCAAGATGAGTGGCACTCATGACTTTGAGTATATAAATTGGGTACTTTGAGTGTAGAAATTTCTATATTCATGACCTTGAGTATAGAAATTGCGTAATATTAAGACTTTCTGGTATGAAAATTATTCTATATATAAACATTAATTACACAAGTATAAAAACTAAAATAATCAAAATTATAAAAAAGGAAAAGAAAATCATTCACTCTCTTATTTAGTATTGACTCCTAGTATAAAGTACAAAAGTACCAACTGTGAAAAGGAATTTCCGTCCTACACAACGATTAAGAAAAATAAGAAACAAGTACCTATAGCTATCACAACACACACTTAGCCAAGCAAAAAATAAAGTGCCAAATATAGAGCAATCCCACTTGAACATTTAAATTTAGCTACAACAGTAACACATAATAAAGGCTTTTTCAACCGGTATGCCATAGCCATATCTATCAGCTACTTTGGAAGAGTGTATATAAATATAATATAATATAATTCTCTAGTTAGGACGTTTTGATATTAATTTATCAAAATCATGCATTTATACTATTGGATTTGGGTTATAAAACATTTTTCAGTCCAAGGAGATAAATCCAACAATTTATAAGCATGAATTTGACATAATTAATATTAGAACATTTTGACTAGAGACCTGTATGGATAGATAGATAGATAGATAGATAGATAGCTTAAGGGTTTGGGGTGGAAGAAGGGGGAAAGAGGAAGGGGAAGGGAATAGTAGGGATTATAGTCTTTGGAGAAGGAGGAGATGGAAAGGAAAATAATGGTGGCCAATTTTTGCTAGAAAGAGGTGGAGAGTTGAACTTAGGCAAAGGTGTAAAAAACAATAGATTACGAGCTGCTAGTCCAACATCCATGGATGAAAATGTCAGAGCAACAAAAAGAAATAAGACGAAGAAATTACTGGAGGCCATTCTTAGATATTGAACGAAACAATTGACTTCTTTTAAGTTTTGAGTGGTAGAACCAAGGCCTATATCTGGGTTTTTATAGCTAAAAACTAGGATGTTGGATCAATATTCAAGTATTTTTTTCAGAAAAAACAATAATGTGAAAGAATGATTGCTTTTCAGTTTGTTGTTAGTTAAGCGTCTAACCAAATATCTTTCTTATTTAAATGAGTTTAATTAACATAAACACTAGTTGAAAGATTCACATGGTTGGATTAGGATATTATTTTATTTTCTACGTGTTAAAGATAGCCATATATAATTTATTTTAAGCATTGATCTACAGCTTGTTTATTCTGACCTAATATTAATTATTTATCAAGATCTTCATGATGCATGATAATTGTACGTAGGAAGGATACATCTGTTCACACCACAAACTTGTTTTCTTTATAGTAAATCGTTTTCTTTGACAAAACAGTAAAGATTTGCAAACATGGCAATGAAAACAGCAATTGATTTGCAAGCATGATTATTATTTTTCATTACTCGTTTTTATTTTATTATCGGATCACCCCGTAGTCAGAAAACTTTTAAAAAAATAATATTAAACAAGATAGAAAAAAGAATAAGAGAAATATAATAATCAAAAGTAGTTGGGCTCGTTTTCAAACATTTTCATCTTTTCAATGTTTACCTTTTACCAAACATTAAATTATCTAGGGCTCGTCACATGAAATTGTGACTCCATGTGTTTTTGAATCCTACATCGGCCAAACAACCCTGAACAAACAAGATGCCATCACTAAAATTAATTTCATGATTTCTAATGTTAACCAAATCGCAAGTATATTTGTACAATAACATTTCCACTTCATATATAAATGCTTACCTTTGGTAAGAGTGATGACACGTGTTTAAACTAAATATACAAACTATTATATATAAACTATGTAACAACACTTTTTCATTGACACATCATTCATTAAAGGTGTTGTAAACGGTAAAAATCTATGATTACAGAAGATGATTGATTCTGTGAGATTGAGGTCACCTAACAATCCGTTGAACTTGCACACAAAGAAACTAAGCGCGACCCATGGACATTTGTATGGTCAAAAGCCATATTTTCAACTGATATTTTAAACTGAGTTGTCATAAAATGGAATAGGTTGTAGAAGAATTATTGATTGAATAAATAAAATAAAAATAATAAAATTTAGTTTAATAAGGTTCCAACATTAATATTTACTACTTAAATTACTTGAGATGCCTATATCTATACAAGAGTATTAGTTATAAAGTTAGAAGAAAAAAAACCCTAATACAAATTGCCCAAAGGGCTTAGGACAATTACGCCCCCTGAAACTTTCAAAAATATAATACCAAGCCCTTGCCTTTACATTTTTCCGTTAAAATTAAATTGTTATAAAAAAGAATTTAAATATTAAAACCAAACTAAAAAATTTAAACGAAATTAAATAAATAAACAAATAAATTTCAATCACAACCGGCCATCGGAGATCGTGGCCGCGATCTGCAAATCGTTGGTCGCGTTTAACAGGGTAGGGGGTGTGATTGGTGTTTTTTGCAGTTATGGGTGACAAAAGTAAATTTTGAAACTTACAGGGGGGTCTAATTGTCTTAATCTCATTGCCCAAATAACATATTGCCATAATTTGAACGATACGCTGGCGTTTTGGTGAGACCTATAATCATGTCAAGTCAGCCTGCAATTCTAAACTTGGCAGGGTTTTACTTTCACCTGTTCAAGATTTCAAGTTCGACGGGTCTCCAAAATAGTGCGAGACTTTAAAGAGATTTTCTCAACTCTCAAGCATAGGTGAGTTTATTCAATCACTTTTGCAACTACGATGTTNCCGAGCTAATGAAGCTGTACAGAAAAGCTTCATCGTTCAAAGAATGTAAAGTGAAAGGAAAGCAGCATTTGTAATATGTTTACATCATAATGAATGATACAAGTGATGGCATTTTCTGTGTTTACTTCATCTTGTTAAATTCTGTATTCACTTCGGCTTCAGTTCTAGTGATACAGCGCATTTAGTCCAGACTGATGTGTGAATTTCACTTGTGTTTAACTGGTAGTGGTTGGTTAGGAAATCAAATTCTACTGCAATAAAATATAATTCTCCCAGAAATCTAAATTCTACACCTAAAAAAATTAACTTTTTCAAGTTTGTTATCTGACTGTCCAGATATTGTTTGAGTCCCCCCATGGACATTTGTATGGTCAAAAGCCATATTTTCAACTGATATTTTAAACTGAGTTGTCATAAAATGGAATAGATTGTAGAAGAATTATTGATTGAATGAATAAAATAAAAATAATAAAATTTAGTTTAATAAGGTTCTAACATTAATATTTACTACTTAAATTACTTGAGATGCCTATATCTATACAAGAGTATTAGTTAATAAAGTTAGAAGAAAAAAAGCCCCAATACAAATTGCCCAAAGGGCTTAGGACAATTACACCCCTTGAAACTGTCAAAAATATAATACCAAGCCCCTGCTTTTACATTTTTCCGTTAAAATTAATTTGTTATAAAAAAGAATTTAAATATTAAAAATAAACTAAAAAATTAAAACGAAATTAAATAAATAAACAAATAAATTTCAATCACAACCGGCCATTGGAGATCGTGGCCGCGATCTGCAAATCGTTGGTCGCGATTTAACAGGGTGGGGGGTGTAATTGGTGTGTTTTGCAGTTACGGGTGACAAAGGTCAATTTTGAAAGTTACAGGGGGTTGTAATTGTCTTAAGCTCACTGCCCAAATAATATATTGCCATAATTTGAACGATGCGCTGGCGTTTTGGTGAGACCTATAATTATGTCAAGTCAGCCTGCAATTCTAAACTTACCAGGGTTTTACTTTCATCTGTTCAAGATTTCAAGTTCGACGGGTCTCCAAAATAGTGCGAGACTTTAAAGAAATTTTCTCAATTCTCAAGCATAGGTGAGTTTATTCAATCACTTTTGCAACTACGATGTTTAATTTTTTCTTCGGAAATTTACTTCATAGTCATGGTAGATACGCTAACTTAGCTTTATTAAACCCTAATAAATTTCAAGTTTTTTCCTGTCCAATTTTTGTCAAATACATCTCTACCAACTCAAATGAATAATCTTTTACCGTTTCATACCTTATTAATTCATGTGGGTTGTCTTCTGAATCTGCTCTAAAGACATCCAAAAAAGTTCAATTTGATACTCCAGAAAAACCAGACTTAGTGGTAAACTTTTTCAAGAGCAATGGCTTCTCAGAATCCCAAATTTTAGACCTCATCAGAAAGCGCCCAAAACTTCTTTTGTGCAATCCTGAGAAAACCCTTCTGCCAAAACTTGAGTTTTT